CTGAGAGCTGACACATTTTTCCAAGCTCTAAAGGGCAGAGTTTTTGTTCTTATTTCTTAGATGCGAGACAAGACAGTGCATCATCCGACCTTGAAAGTAGAAAGGACAGGAGGTAATTAGGTGTGATCTAGAAATATACTATGATTAGTAGTAGATGCATGGATATATTTGTATCTAAACACTATTATGATAGCATTAGAGAGAATCCATGTTTGCACAGTTCTGCTTGGCATGAACAGACGCTACTCCATACTTCACTAAATCATTCTGTTCTATGCTCATTGCTCTAAAAGACTGAAGTGTCTTGCTGTCTCTGTAGAGGTCCATGAATATTCAATGTGTTATTGACCTGTGTCATGGAATCTGGTCGTAAGATCATTTATCTGTGGTGTGTTTTCCAGTTTGTATTTTTTGAATTTTAGAGCTGAAATCTAACCACATAATCAATTTATCATCATGATTGTGACATGAAATTACTGCTGTAATATTCATAAACACGTAAATCCAATTGAGAGTACATGACCCTAAAACTAATGACAAATTAACAGGCTGGAGCTGTTTAAAAACAGCTAAACTTGAAAGGATCTGAGCTTCATTATTTAGGGCCTATTTTAAACCCTACCAAGGTCTTTAAATTATTAGTATGGCAGCTATATGTGATATGTGCATTAAATAGATTGGCGATTTCAATTTACCATACCATGTTTTGCTATTCTCATGTTTCCCATGATTGAAACATTAAATTTGATAATTTTCTGATAAATCTGATGCATATATTGCTACTGTAGCAACATTAAAGTAATATTTTTCAAAATTATTATAGACAATTATTAATAACAGTTAATAGTGTATAGTTATTAATCTCATTTTCTGTCAGCATTTGTGTTTTGAATGTATTAAAGTGTTAATGAAAATGTGTATGGTAAAACTACAGTGTTTCTTTCCAAACAGACAATTGCATGTTAATGTAAAGTAAAATAATTATGTTATCAAAGCCATACTTTTATAAATAAATTATTCTTAATCTAATGGGAGGGAACTGTTCAAATATAAAGTGCACTCAACCAACTAAACATTGGCAAAAGTAAAATTAAATATGATGTGTGTTAAACATAGATGCTGCATTGGGTGTTAAACATACATGATGTGCTGGTTGTTGTGCATACATGATGTGCTGGGTGTTAAACATAGATGCTGTGCTGGGTGTTAAGCATACATGATGTGCTGGGTGTTAAACATAGATGCTGTGCTGGGTGTTAAGCATACATGATGTGCTGGGTGTTACGCATACATGATGTGCTGGGTGTTGAGCATACATGATGTGTGCTGGGTGTTAAGCATACATGATGTGCTGGGTGTTGAGCATACATGATGTGCTGGGTGTTATGCATACATGATGTGCTGGGTGTTAAACATAGATGCTGTGCTGGGTGTTAAGCATACATGATGTGCTGGGTGTTAAACATAGATGCTGTGCTGGGTGTTAAGCATACATGATGTGTTGGGTGTAATGCATACATGATGTGCTGGGTGTTATGCATACATGATGTGCTGGGTGTAATGCATACATGATGTGCTGGTTGTTATGCATACATGATGCGCTGGTTGTTATGCATACATGATGTGCTGGGTGTTATGCATACATGATGTGCTGGGTGTTATGCATACATGATGTGCTGGGTGTAATGCATACATGATGTGCTGGTTGTTATGCATACATGATGCGCTGGTTGTTATGCATACATGATGTGCTGGTTGTTAGGCATACATGCATGATATGCTGAGTGTTACGCATACATGATGTGCCAGGTGTTACGCATAGCTGCATACTTGATGTGCTGGGTGTTAGGCATAGCTGCATACTTGATGTGCTGGGTGTTAGGCATAGCTGCATACTTGATGTGCTGGGTGTTAGGCATACATGATGTGCTGGGTGTAATGCATACATGATGTGCTGGGTGTTACGCATAGCTGCATACTTGATGTGCTGGGTGTTAGGCATACATGATGTGCTGGGTGTTACGCATACATGATGTGCTGGGTGTTACGCATACATGATGTGCTGGGTGTTACGCATACATGATGTGCTGGGTGTTACGCATAGCTGCATACTTGATGTGCTGGGTGTTAGGCATACATGATGTGCTGGGTGTAAGGCATACATGATGTGCTGGGTGTAATGCATACATGATGTGCCAGGTGTTACGCATAGCTGCATACTTGATGTGCTGGGTGTTAGGCATAGCTGCATACTTGATGTGCTGGGTGTTACGCATACATGATGTGCTGGGTGTTATGCATACATGATGTGCTGGGTGTTACGCATACATGATGTGCTAGGTGTTACGCATACATGATGTGCTAGGTGTTACGCATACATGATGTGCTGGTTGTTACGCATACATGATGTGCTGGGTGTTACGAAAACATGATGTGCTGGGTGTTACGCATACATGATGTGCTTGGTGTTACACATACATGATGTGTTGGGTGTTACGCATACATGATGTGCTGGGTGTTACGAAAACATGATGTGCTGGGTGTTACACATACATGATGTGTTGGGTGTTACGCATACATGATGTGCTGTTGTTACGCATACATGATGCGCTGGTTGTTACGCATACATGATGTGCTGGTTGTTACGCATACATGATGTGCTGGGTGTTATGCATACATGATGTGCTGGGTTTACGCATAGCGACATACATGATGTGCTGGGTGTTACGCATACATGATGTGCTGGTTGTTACGCATACATGATGTGCTGGGTGTTACGCATACATGATGTGCTGGGTGTTACGCATACATGATGTGCTGGGTGTTACGCATACATGCTACGTTGGGTGTTACGCATACATGCATGATGTGCTGGGTGTTACGCATACATGATGTGCTGGGTGTTACGCATACATGATGTGCGGGGTGTTACGCATACATGATGTGCGTGGTGTTAAACATACATGATGTGCGGGGTGTTAAACATACATGATGTGCTGGGTGTTACGGATACATACTGTGCTGGGTGTTATGCATACATGATGTGCTGGGTGTTATGCATACATGATGTGCTGGGTGTTATGCATACATGCATGATATGCTGAGTGTTACGCATACATGCATGATGTGCTGGGTGTTACGCATACATGATGTGCTGGGTGTTACGCATACATGATGTGCTGGGTGTTACGCATACATGATGTGCTGGATGTTACGCATACATGATGTGCTGGTTGTTATGCATACATGGTGTGCTGGGTGTTATGCATACATGTGCTTGTTGTTACGCATACATGATGTGCTAGGTGTTACGGATACATGGTGTGATGGATGTTCAACATACATTAAAACATACATGTTAGATAAATGCCATTGTTCGATATATTAGGCAATTCATTTTCCTGTATCAAGTAAAATTAGGTATTGATAAAGTGAAAGTAATTTTGAGTCTGATGGTTTCGGTTATTTTTTCAGCACAGCCTATGGCTCATACCTTCAGTTACAAGAATTAATAAAAGAACACGAGTAAGTCATGGATCCTCTGCATGCCATTACTTCCATTCTGCACTAATAGCTTGTTAATTATTCACCACTATATTTACTATCATGTGAGTTATTATTATTTATCTCCTCTAGTAAGCAACATGAGAAGGTAGTTTCTGACAAATATAATGATGAAATATTAAAAGATTTTATGCTCCGGAAGAAACGAACGAAGGCTCGAATGTCACTCACCGAATTTCTTACTGATCCAAGGAATTTTCAGGGTGATGAAGATCAGTCACTTGCTGGAAAACATGGACGGTCTAGTAAGTCAAGTGCATGCAGTCTGTGTCTCTATGAACAATATATTTTGAAAATTTTGCTGGCATTAGCCAATCAGATTTAAATTTGTCACATGTAAAAGACCCAATAGTGCCTGTGCATGCCAATTGATATTTTCACTTCAAAAAAGCCAAATATTTTTTGTAAAAAAATGTTTTGGCAAGCTAAATCTGTCATACCTCAATGACTGCTTGGTGCAGTTACAAGACATGCATGAATTGATGGCCACATTGTACAGTGACAAAATATCCAAAATGGCCACATTGTACAATGACAAAATATCTAAAATTGCTATGTGGTGCAGTAAAAGGACATCCAAAATGGCCACAGAGTGCAGTGACAAGGAGATCCAAGATGGCCACTTGGAACTCTTACAATAGTTTCATGATGGTCACTTAGTATGGTAACAAGACATCTAAGATGGCTCTTGGTGCAGGAGCAAGACACTTCTTATGACGGCTTACAAACTCTGCCATTCGTGGAAATTCATGTCAAATATAAGATGTTTATCTTGTAAGTGTTTATCAGCATGTTTTGAATCTTAGCAACCAGCATACTAAGTAGAAATCTTGCTGAAATATATATTTAAATATTTTATATGAAATGTGTTTACTAGTATCAGGTAAAACAGACTCAGAGAAGAAATCAAGTTCTTCAATGTTTAATTTCTTTCGAAAACCAAGCCAGAGACCACGAAATAAAGTGAGTGTCTTAATATTTTATTTAATCAAATAATCATGTATGTTGTGTCTGTAATTTAAGGTAGAGATGCAGGTTCGTGGGCATTTTTCGTGAATTTTTTTTTTTTTTGCTTTTTCTCACCCAGACAGTCTTGGATAGTGTTAAAATTTCGGAGCATTGTCATTGTTGGAACATTCTCAAAAATCAATTTTAAAATATAGGAAACCGAGGCACGCGTATGTGATTAAAAGATCCGAAAGTTTGTTTGCGTTGCTCTTTGATTGACAAGTCACTGTTGATGTTATATGCAAATGATTGCTGGCCCCAGTTACGGAGCAGCCGATGTGCGACTTCCTGTCCTGGCTCTCTGTTTACTTACCTCAAGCGCGATCAACTAGCAAACTACAAAAAACAGACAAGACGTAGACGCTTCCAGCATGCAAGCGGAATGAAACAAAACATACACTTGTAACTGATAAGTAAACTTTTTCATCCTTAAA